CTGATGAGAGACGAGTGGGAGGGGAAGGCCACTCCCGCTGGAGAGTCAGTGGTGGAGTATGTCCTGATCTTCCGAGAGAGACTTGCTGAACTCATGGGCCTGGCCAGGGAGAATCTGGCCAGAGCCCAGAGGAAGCAGAAGGTCTGGTATGACCGCACGGCGCGGGCCCGTGCCTACGCCACCGGGGATCCGGTGATGGTTCTCATCCCAGTGAGAAAGAACAAACTACAGGCCGCCTGGGAGGGCCCTTTTCAAGGTCGTCAAGCAGCTCAATGAGGTAAACTATGTGGTGGAGCTGTCGAACCGGGGCGCACCACCGCCGGGTGTACCATGTGAATATGATGAAGCCATATTATGCCAGGGGGAATGTGGTGTTGGCCGTGTGTGGACAGTGGGAAGAGCAGGGAGATGACCCTTTAGTAGATCTATTCCCTAGGACCAGAGCTGGTTCCCCCCTGGAAACAATTCCCCTCTCGGATCAGCTAACCCCTGCCCAGCAAGCTGAGGTCAGGGGGGTGCTGCATCCGTACCGACAGCTGTTTTCCAACCAGCCTGGACGCACTAATCTGACTGTCCACCGGGTGCAGACCGGGTTGCACCCGCCGATAAGATGCTCCCCCTTCCGAGTCACAGGGAAAACTGCTCAGGACCTGGAAAGAGAGGTCCGGGACATGCTGGCTTTGGGGGTGATCCAGCCATCGGCCAGCCCTTGGGCCTCGCCGGTGGTGCTGGTCCCCAAAAAGGACGGGTCGGTCTGGTTCTGTGTGGACTATCGGAAGCTCAATGCCATCACTGTATCTGATGCCTACCCCATGCCCAGGCCGGACGAGCTCCTAGACAAACTGGGAGGAGCTCGGTACCTTACCACCATGGACCTTACAAAGGGCTACTGGCAAGTGCCGCTGGATGCAGATGCCCGGCTGAAATCGGCCTTTATCACCCCTCTGGGGCTCTATGAGTTCCTGACCCTGCCTTTCGGCCTCAAGGGAGCGCCGGCCACCTTCCAGCGCCTGGTGGACCAGCTCCTGAGGGGGATGGAGAGTTTTGCCGTGGCGTATATTGATGACATCTGTGTCTTTAGCCAGACCTGGGAGGACCACGTGTCCCAGGTTAGACAAGTGCTGGACCGACTCCAGGGGGCTGGGCTGACTGTAAAAGTGGAGAAGTGCAAGGTGGGGATGGCGGAAGTATCTTACCTGGGCCATCGGGTGGGGAGCGGCCGCCTAAAGCCGGAACCAGCCAAGGTGGAGGTGATCAGAGACTGGCCCGCTCCCCACACCAAAAAAGCAGGTCGAAGCCTTTATTAGGATGGCAGGATACTACCGAAGATTTGTGCCCCACTTTAGTGCCATAGCCACACCCATCACTGAGCTATGCAAGAAGGGGAAGCCAGACAAGGTGGTCTGGACCGAGCAGTGCCAGGAGGCTTTCCGGGCGCTGAAGGAGGCTCTGGTCAGTGGCCCGGTTCTGGCAAACCCAGACTTTGACAAGCCCTTTGTGGTGTTCACCGATGCCTCCGACACGGGACTGGGGGCGGTGTTAATGCAGGAGGATGAAAAGGGGGAGAGACACCCCATCGTGTACCTGAGCAAGAAGTTGCTACCCCGGGAGCAACACTACGCGGCCATCGAGAAGGAGTGCCTGGCCATGGTGTGGGCCCTCAAGAAACTAGGGCCCTATCTCTTCGGGCGACACTTCACCGTCTACACCGACCACTCTCCCCTGACCTGGCTGCACCAGATGAAAGGAGCCAACGCCAAGCTCCTGAGATGGAGCCTGCTCCTGCAGGATTACGACATGGACGTGGTCCACGTGAAGGGAAGTGCCAACCTGATAGCGGATGCGCTGTCCCGGAGAGGGGGCCCCGAACTTCCCCAGGTCACTGGTCACAGTGACCCCGCTCAGTTCAGTCTCGAAGGGGGGAGAGATGTGACGATGTGACTCAGCAGGGAGGGGGAGTGTTGACCTGGGAATGTGCCCTGGGGATGGGAGACCTGAGAGCCTGTCACCTGAGCCAGGAGGGGGAGGGGGAGGTGACACCTCTGCCCAGGAATGTGGACGGAGGCTGCAGGAGGGAGCCTGCTGGGGGGGTTAGTTTTCAGTTTGGTGGTGGGTGGAGGAACGCAGGGAACCCCAGGGCTGGGGTCTAAGCTCCCTGCTCCCCCAGAAGGACGTGATTGAGGGGTCCTGGTTGTACACACAAGCTCTGTTTGGGACTGTGTTCCTGTTGTCCAATAAACCTTCTGTTTTACTGGCTGGCTGAGAGTCTCAGTGGATCCCAAGAAGAGGGGTGCAGGGCCTGGACTCCCCCCACACTCCGTGACACCCACCCCCTAGATACTTAAGAACTGCCTACGGAAAACTGAGGCACCCCCACACTATTCAGAGGAAACGTTAAGAACAGTCCCGCTTCATCACACCCAGCCCTTTGATCTCGAGCTGGGGATAGTTCAGTTTCCCTAAGGAGAGACAGGGCAGTCCGTATCCACTGGGTCGTTGGGTGCTAGATGCCAATGTCTCGGTGTCACGGAGTGTGGGGGAGTCTGGGCCCTGCACCCCTCTGTCACGGAGTCCCTGGGCGATGCTCTGGAACTGCTCCCCATGAAGTCAGTCAGGACTCTGGGGTAGTCGCCTTTCTGTGAGCAGCCTGTCTTCAGGACACACAGCTCACACAGCTTCCACCTTCCTGGGTCTGACCTCGGAGCATTCAGCATCCTCTGCCCCTCCGTGCGCTTCCCACAGCGAGTCCGCTCAGGCGGGTGCTCCTGGGGAAGCCAGAGGGTCCTGCACCCCAACTTCGCAGTCAGACGTGACTCTCAGCCAGCCAGTAAAACAGAAGGTTTATTAGACGACAGGAACATGGTCTAAAACAGAGCTTGCAGGTGCAGAGAACGGGACCCCTCAGCTGGGTCCATTCTGGGGGGCAGTGAGCCAGACAACCACGTCTGCACTTCACTCCATGTCCCAGCCAGCCCCAAACTGAAACTCCCTCCAGCCCCTCCTCCTCTGGGCTTTGTTCCTTTCCCGGGCCAGGTGGTCACCTGATTCCTTTGTTCTCCAACCCTTCAGCTCTCACCTTGCAAGGGGGGGGAAGGGCCCAGGCCATCAGTTGCCAGGAAACAGGGTGTCGGCCATTCTTTGTGTCCAGGCCCCTGCACACACATGCCCTCTAGGGCTCTGCAATGATCATACACCCTTACCCCACCCCCTAGATACTTAAGAACTGCCTGGGGGAAACTGAGGCACCCCCACACTATTCAGAGGAAACATTAAGAACAGTCCCACTTCGTCACATCTCCCCCCTTCGAGATCGAACTGAGCGGGGTCACTTTAGCCGGTGACCTGGGGAAGTTCGAAGCCACCAACGTTCCCATGGATGCCCCAGCATCTCTCCCATTCCTTGGTAGGAGTTACACCAGCCCTTCCAGCTCCGCCCCCCCTCGGCGGGGGGGGGGGGGGATCGGCCGCATGTGGGAAGGTTTATGCAGCCCATGCCCTTTGGCCACCCCAAGAATGTCTCCCCATTGACCATCACCTTCTACTCCCACTGGAGGTCCGGGGGCCTGGCCCCAGGAACCCCACACAAATAGGTTGGGGAGAGTGGGGCTGTCCATCCCCAACCACCTGGCTGACGGAGTCTATGGCCTTGGGACCCAGCAAGGGAGCTAGACACCGGGGCTTTTCCGCAGGGTCCCCTTGGTTCAAATCGCCAGCCTGCTCAAAGGCAGTGAGGTGGGCATCCACACCCCCCCTCCTTAACCAGGGGCAGCAATTTAGTCTCGAGGTTCCCTGCGGAACTGGCCCCCGGGATCTATCCCCACTCACCCCGGGGAGGTCCCCTAGGCCTCTCCGCTCCCCCACCGCCAGTTCATGCTGCTGCTGCTTCTGCAGCTCTTTCTCGGGCTCTCGCTGTCTCCCACGGTCCTCTTGCTCTCTCAGACTCAGCTGCAATCCCGTCCGTCTTGATCCCCCGATGGGGGAACCCGATCATGAAGACCCTCGTCTGGTCGGGGACAGGAGTCTTGGCGATGCCTGGCTCCCGCTTCAGCTGCTCCCAGATCCTGCTATAGCCCCAGTTGGGGTCAGGAATCTGTTCCTTAGAGCGGTCATCCTCCTCCAGCTGCACGATTAACTCTGCTTTGGTGAACTTTCCAATGCTCAACCCTCTCTTTCTGCACAGGGTTACAATGTCCTTCTTAAGGAGACGGTGACAGGCCATCACTCCGCTCCTCCCAAGTTGTTGTGGACTCACAGGCCCGTGTGTTCTCAGCTCCCCACGGTTTCCAGGGAGAACCCCTAGTGTGCCAGCCCTTCTCAAGGTCACCACCTCTTTGCCAGGGTCGAGCTGCAGACTCCTCCGCCCCTTGGACTGCTCACTGCAGTCCCCAGGGGGACCCCATTACTGCACAGTACTTCTCGCTGGTCACACACTCCCAGGGGTTAACCGCCCCCGAAACCGCTCCTCTCTGAGCCTTCAGCAGGCCTGGTCCTCGGCAATCCCCCTTCGTGTTACTGCTCCCCAGTCACTTACTGCAGGAAGCTCCATCCACGGGGTGCAGTAGATCCCACCGCTGCCACCAGTTGTCACGGAGTTCCTGGGCGATGCTCTGGAACTGCTCCCCATGAAGTCAGTCAGGACTCTGGGGCAGTCGCCTTTCTGTGAGCAGCCTGTCTTCCAGGACACACAGCTCACACAGCTTCCACCTTCCTGGGTCTGACCTCGGAGCATTCAGCATCCTCTGCCTCTCCGTGCGCTTCCCACAGCGAGTCCGCTCAGGCGGTGCTCCTGGGGAAGCCAGAGGGTCCTGCACCCCAACTTCGCAGTCAGACGTGACTCTCAGCCAGCCAGTAAAACAGAAGGTTTATTAGACGACAGGAACATGGTCTAAAACAGAGCTTGCAGGTGCAGAGAACGGGACCCCTCAGCTGGGTCCATTCTTGGGGGCAGTGAGCCAGACAACCACGTCTGCACTTCACTCCATGTCCCAGCCAGCCCCAAACTGAAAACCCCCTCCAGCCCCTCCTCCTCTGGGCTTTGTTCCTTTCCCGGGCCAGGTGGTCACCTGATTCCTTTGTTCTCCAACCCTTCAGCTCTCACCTTGCAGGGGGGGGAAGGGGCCCAGGCCATCAGTTGCCAGGAAACAGGGTGTCGGCCATTCTTTGTGTCCAGACTCCTGCACACACATGCCCTCTAGGGCACTGCAATGATCATACACCCTTACCCCACCACCTAGATACTTAAGAACTGCCTAGGGGAAACTGAGGCACCCCCACACTATTCAGAGGAAACATTAAGAACAGTCCCACTTCGTCACACCTTGGGTCGAGAAGGGGGGGACCGGGGGGGCCGCCTGCGTTCCACCACCCAGCCCCAAACTGAAAAAAAATCCCTCCCGCAGGCTCTCTCCCCCTCCCCCCCGCTCCTCCTCTAGCCTTTGTCCAATTTCCCAGGCCAAGATGTCAGCTCTCCCAGCCCCCCTCCTGGCTCAGGTTAGAGCCTCAGGTATCTTCCTTCAGGGGAAGTCTCCCATCGCCAATGCAGACGGTCCCAGTGAACCTCCCCGGCAACCCTCCTTGGGCAAATCCGCCCCACTCCCTGCTGCGTCACATCTGGCGATTGGATTTGCCCCTGTTGTCTCAGATGCTCCACTGATGTGGGGATTAAGTCCCAGACACCTATGTCTGTTCACCTGCCCTGAGAGGAAACAGTCCCCTTCCACCCACCAGGTAACAATGCAGCAGGTAGGGGAAACTGAGGCACACACAGGCTTCACACAAATATTACAAACGATTTCCAATTTTGTCACAGTCTCACTGCAGACACTGGCTGGCTGCGTCAGTCACTAAAGAGTGGACGTGTCTCTCCCAGGGCTCTGTCTCAGTTGGACTCACTGGGCAGAGCTCACAGCACGAAGCAGGGGGGCTGATGCCACTGACAGCGGGCAGAGCCTGCAGAAGGACGCTGCCAGGAAGAGGTAAATAGTGGGGTGGGGGTGGGGACCCTAGGTGAACATCACAGGTCTGGTCTGGTGCATTTGGGGGGAAGACACCCCAGCACCCTTCACCTAGGCAGTGATCTGACGGCAGGTTTTCTTCATGAAAATGGACTTCAGCCAGGCTTGGTTGTAAAGACCAGGGTGGATTCAGAGGCAGGCCACCCAGGTGACCTTTGGGTGAGAAACTTCGTTAGACAGGAGGAGAACTTGGTAGTTCGGTTCCTGAGAACACGTCTTCTGATGTGTACGGAACCATTTGCTCCCATCTCTCACGCTGGTTTCTGCTTGAATCGCTTGTGTTACTGTAGTTGAACTCAAGCGCTGTGTGTGGTACCGGGGAGGGAGCGAAGGGAAAGCTGGGGTACACTGCTCCTTTGGGAACAGGGGATCTTGGATCTCTCGGGGGATGCAGTGACTGGGGCTGGATCACAGAGCGGAGGGGACACTTTGCAGGGCCTTGGAGGCTGGGGGGATCGGTTGGCAGCCTGCAAGGCAAAGGCAGGGCTGGTACAGGCTGGTGGAGAGGACTGGAGGGCTGCCAGGCTGGGGGCAGCAGGGGGCTGGCACCGGCAGGGATAACAAGGCGACTCTCAGCCCTGGGTGCCCTGAGAGGCGTCACAATGCGTGCACCCTTGTCACGGAGTCCCTGGGCGATGCTCTGGAACTGCTCCCCATGAAGCCAGTCAGGACTCTGGGGCAGTCGCCTTTCTCTGAGCAGCCTGTCTTCAGGACACACAGCTCACACAGCTTCCACCTTCCTGGGTCTGACCTCGGAGCATTCAGCATCCTCTGCCCCTCCGTGCGCTTCCCCCAGCGAGTCCGCTCAGGCGGGGCTCCTGGGGAAGCCAGAGGGTCCGGCACCCCAACTTCGCAGTCAGACGTGACTCTCAGCCAGCCAGTAAAACAGAAGGTTTATTAGACGACAGGAACATGGTCTAAAACAGAGCTGGCAGGTGCAGAGAACGGGACCCCTCAGCTGGGTCCATTTTGGGGGCAGTGAGCCAGACAACCACGTCTGCACTTCACTCCATGTCCCAGCCAGCCCCAAACTGAAACTGCCTCCAGCCCCTCCTCCTCTGGGCTTTGTTCCTTTCCGGGGCCAGGAGGGCACCTGATTCCTTTGTTCTCCAACCCTTCAGCTTTCACCTTGCAGGGGGGGAAGGGCCCAGGCCATCAGTTGCCAGGAAACAGGGTGTTGGCCATTCTCTGTGTCCAGACCCCTGCACACACCTGCCCTCTAGGGCTCTGCAATGATCATACACCCTTACCCCACCACCTAGATACTTAAGAACTGCATAGGGGGGAACTGAGGCACCCCCACAATATTCGGAGGAAACATTAAGAACAGGCCCACTTCGTCACATCTCTCCCCCCTTCGAGATCGAACTGAGCGGGGTCACTTTACCCGGTGACCTGGGGAAGTTCGAAGCCACCAACGTTCCCATGGATGCCCCAGCATCTCTCCCATTCCTTGGTAGGAGTTAACACCAGGCCCTTCCAGTTTCATGCCCTCCCTTAGGTCGGGGGTGGTCGATAGCACTAGCAGGCTGCATGTGGGAAGGTTTCTGCAGCCCATGCCCTTTGGCCACCCCAAAACCCCAGGGGGTCAAACTGGGATTGGGTTTTCTCCCAGAGCTCCAGTCTGGAGGGCTGCAATTCGGGCTCTCTTGGTCAAGGGCCCCCATCTTGACCGGGGCCACATACTGTTCACTTACAGAACTAGCATGGAGACATCCCTTTCTCCACAACCTTGTCTCCCCAACAAGCTGGCCAAACACAGCCACTTGGTTATAGGACGGTATACCTTTCTTAACAGCTTTCACTCCATCTGAGACCTTCTCAAAGCTCTCCACACTGGATCTTTCAACAGGAAAGTCAGTGGATCCATTCACAACAGAAAATTTCTGGCTGTTAGGAACTGAAGCTTTCTTGATTAAATCACTTTCACACCCTTCAGTTGCAGTAAACTGCTTGCAAAGACTCCATGAGAATTCCTTTCCCAAGGGCTTTTCTATGCAACAATTCACCCCTCACAGAAATTCTGCTCTTACCCTCTTCACCTAGGGCTTGCTCTAGGGGAACACGTTCCTGAGCAACAACAGACTCTTTCTGGGTCTCCCTTACATCCAGAATCACCTCTGGCCCATCCAGCTGATTCCTACACAATCCCCTTTCGGGCAAACTTACAGACTTCCTAGATAAAAGGTCAGAAGCATTCTCCTTCCCTTTGCCACACACAAGTTCAGGAATCTTTTCCTCCTTGCTACAGGTTTCCACACCCTCAGTAGGTAACACAATCACACACCTTCATGCTCTCCTTGTGCCCTGGCTAGGATCTCACCCTGATTAGACAGAGTTGCTACACCCTTTCCCAACAACACATTAGCAACAGGCAAAATACAAGCACCAGAATTGTCTGGTCTCGGGGATTTTACATAGACCCTAACTGGATGCGACCTAGTTACAGGGCCATTCTCCCGAGCAGACAGAAACTTAGGACCCTTCCCTTCCTGGGCTTTAGCTGAATCCAGAACCAGCTCTGAGACAACTGCACGACCCTCAACCATCACAGGCTGAAAGGCCTCTTCTGTCTGCTCCACAGACCAAGAAGAGCCGGACACACTTTCTCCTTTCCCAGACACACAGGTTGGGATCTCATTCCCTTTGTCCCAGCACACAAGGCTGGTCACAGACAACTGCTTGGAGATCAGGGTAGCTCCCTCCATAGGCAAGTCAATACCCCTGACAGACAGAGACCCATTTCCTTCACTGTCCCAATTCTCCACCCAGCTAACAGGTAAGGTCCAGGGACTCTCATCTTCCACTCTCCTCGCCTTCCCACCCTGCTGACTGGACACAGCCATCAGATCACAAGGCTGCCTAGGCTCATCCAGACTTTCCTTACCAAGCACCTTGCCAGTCCCCACAGATCCCCTGCCCTGCCTGTGTCTCCCCCCACTCAGCTGGGGTCTCAGCTCCCACTGTGCTCAGCGCTGCCCTTGCTGTCCCAGTGGGGGTAGGCAGCGAGCTCGCTGCTTTCCTCACTGCATCAGAGCCAGCCTGAGCCCCCTCTCCAGTGTGCAAGGGGGCAGGGAGCATCTCTCTGTCCCACGCAGCCCCAGGGGTCTGGTTACAGGCAGGCCAGTAGCCTGAGCTTAGCCGCTCCTCCCCCATGCCAGCCAGGTCATCTGCATTTTCACTGACCATTTCCCTCTCCACCGATTGGTTCCCTGGATTCAAATTCAAACCCTTGGCAGTTACAGGAGCAGGGTCTGGATCCTGTCCCAAAGAGACACCTGTGACGAAGTGGGCCTGTTCTTAATGTTTCCTCTGAATAGTGTGGGGGTGCCTCAGTTTCCCCTATGCAGTTCTTAAGTATCTAGGTGGTGGGGTAAGGGTGTATGATCATTGCAGAGCCCTAGAGGGCAGGTGTGTGCAGGGATCTGGACACAGAGAATGGCCGACACCCTGTTTCCTGGCAACTGATGGCCTGGGCCCTTCCCCCCCCTGCAAGGTGAGAGCTGAAGGGTTGGAGAACAAAGGAATCAGGTGACCACCTGGCCCGGGAAAGGAACAAAGCCCAGAGGAGGAGGGGCTGGAGGGGTTTTCAGTTTGGGGCTGGCTGGGACATGGAGTGAAGTGCAGACGTGGTTGTCTGGCTCACTGCCCCCCAAAATGGACCCAGCTGAGGGGTCCCGTTCTCTGCGCCTGCAAGCTCTGTTTTAGACCATGTTCCTGTCGTCTAATAAACCTTCTGTTTTACTGGCTGGCTGAGAGTCACGTCTGACTGCGGAGTTGGGGTGCAGGACCCTCTGGCTTCCCCAGGAGCCCCGCCTGAGCGGACTCGCTGGGGGAAGCGCACGGAGGGGCAGAGGATGCTGAATGCTCCGAGGTCAGACCCAGGAAGGTGGAAGCCGGGTGAGCTGTGTGTCCTGCAGACAGGCTGCTCACAGAAAGGCGACTGCCCCAGAGTCCTGACTGGCTTCATGGGGAGCAGTTCCAGAGCATCGCCCAGGGACTCCGTGACAGATGGTCAATGGGGAGACATTCCTGGGGTGGTGAGATCCTGGGACAGAGAGAACTGGTGTCAGGCCCTGGGTGGTGCAGCCTCAGAGGCTGAGGGGCTGTGTGAGCTGGGTGAGGGTCCCAGGGACGAAGCCCCTCGCCCTGCCTATGGCCCAGATCCCTGTGCAGACCCAGGAGTGGTGGGGCTGGCTGGTCGTTGGGGTTCTCCGGGATATCGGCTGCGAGACCCTGTTGTGGGGTGATGGTGTTGTCACGGAGTCCCTGGGCGATGCTCTGGAACTGCTCCCCATGAAGCCAGTCAGGACTCTGGGGCAGTCGCCTTTCTGTGAGCAGCCTGTCTGCAGGACACACAGCTCACCCGGCTTCCACCTTCCTGGGTCTGACCTCGGAGCATTCAGCATCCTCTGCCCCTCCGTGCGCTTCCCCCAGCGAGTCCGCTCAGGCGGGGCTCCTGGGGAAGCCAGAGGGTCCTGCCCCCCAACTTCCGCAGTCAGACGTGACTCTCAGCCAGCCAGTAAAACAGAAGGTTTATTAGACGACAGGAACATGGTCTAAAACAGAGCTTGCAGGTGCAGAGAACGGGACCCCTCAGCTGGGTCCATTCTGGGGGGCAGTGAGCCAGACAACCACGTCTGCACTTCAGTCCATGTCCCAGCCAGCCCCAAACTGAAAACCCCCTCCAGCCCCTCCTCCTCTGGGCTTTGTTCCTTTCCCGGGCCAGGTGGTCACCTGATTCCTTTGTTCTCCAACCCTTCAGCTCTCACCTTGCAGGGGGGGAAGGGCCCAGGCCACCAGTTGCCAGGAAACAGGGTGTCGGCCATTCTCTGTGTCCAGACCCCTGCACACACCTGCCCTCTAGGGCTCTGCAATGATCATACACCCTTACTCCACCCCCTAGATACTTAAGAACTGCCTAGGGAAACTGAGGCACCCCCCACTATTCAGAGGAAACATTAAGAACAGTCCCACTTCGTCACACCATCACCTTCCGCTCCCACTGCGGGTCCGAGGGGCCTGGCCCCAAGAAACTCCACACAGACATAGAGGTTGGGGTCAGGAGTGGGAGCCCGTCCACATCCCCACCCATCTGGCTGATGGAGTCTGTGGCCTTGGGACCCAGCAAGGGAGCTAGACACCGGGGCTTTTCCGCAGGGTCCCCTTGGTTCAAATCGCCAGCCTGCTCAAAGGCAGTGAGGTGGCATCCACACACCACCCCCTCCTTAACCAGGGGCAGCAATTTAGTCTCGAGGTTCCCTGCGGAACTGGCCCCCCGGGATCTATCCCCACTCACCCCGGGGAGGTCCCCTAGGCCTCTCCGCTCCCCCACCGCCAGTTCATGCTGCTGCTGCTTCTGCAGCTCTTTCTCGGGCTCTCGCTGTCTCCCACGGTCCTCTTGCTCTCTCAGACTCAGCTCCAATCCCGTCCGTCTCGATCCCCCGATGGGGAACCCGATCGTGAAGACCCCCGTCTGGTCGGGGACAGGAGTCTTGGCGATGCCTGGCTCCCGCTTCAGCTGCTCCCAGATCCTGCTATAGCCCCATTTGGGGTCAGGAATCTGTTCCTTAGAGCGGTCATCCTCCTCCAGCTGCACGATGAACTCTGCTTTGGTGAACTTTCCAATGCTCAACCCTCTCTTTTTGCACAGGGTTACAATGTCCTTCTTAAGGAGACGGTGACAGGCCATCACTCCGCTCTTCCCCAGTTGTTGTGGACTCACAGGCCTGTGTGCTCTCAGCTCCCCACGGTTTCCAGGGAGAACCCCTAGTGTGCCAGCCCTTCTCGAGGTCACCCCCTCTTTGCCAGGGTCGAGCTGCAGGCTCCTCCGCCCCTGAGACTGCTCACTGCAATCCCCAGGGGGACCCCATTACTGCACAGTCCTTCTCGCTGGTCACACACTCCGAGGGGTTAACCGCCCCCTGAAACCGCTCCTCTCTGAGCCTTCAGCAGCCCTGGTCCTCGGCAATCCCCCTTCGTGTTACTGCTCCCCAGTCACTTACTGCAGGAAGCGCCATCCACGGGGTGCAGTACATCCCACCGCTGCCACCAGTTGTCACGGAGTCCCTGGGCGATGCTCTGGAACTGCTCCCCATGAAGCCAGGCAGGACTCTGGGGAAGTCGCCTTTCTGTGAGCAGCCTGTCTTCAGGACACACATCTCACACGGCTTCCCCCTTCCTGGGTCTGACCTCGGAGCATTCAGCATCCTCTGCCCCTCTGTGCGCTTCTCACAGCGAGTCCGCTCAGGCGGGGCTCCTGGGGAAGCCAGAGGGTCCTGCCCCCCAACTTCGCAGTCAGACGTGACTCTCAGCCAGCCAGTAAAACAGAAGGTTTATTAGACGACAGGAACATGGTCTAACACAGAGTTTGCAGGTGCAGAGAACGGGACCCCTCAGCTGGGTCCATTTTGGGGGCAGTGAGTCAGACAACCACGTCTGCACTTCACTCCATGTCCCAACCAGCCCCAAACTGAAACTCCCTCCCGCCCCTCCTCCTCTGGGCTTTGTTCCTTTCCTGGGCCAGGTGGTCACCTGATTCCTTTGTTCTCCATCCCTTCAGCTTTCACCTTGCAGGGGGGGAAGGGCCCAGGCCATCAGTGGCCAGGAAACAGGGTGTTGGCCATTCTCTGTGTCCAGACCCCTGCACACACCTGCCCTCTAGGGCTCTGCAATGATCATACATCCTTACCCCACCACCTAGATACTTAAGAACTGCATAGGGGAAACTGAGGCACCCCCACAATATTCGGAGGAAACATTAAGAACAGGCCCACTTCGTCACACCGTCCCTTGCAGGAGTGAGGCGGGGCCTTCAGGATTCGGCCCCGCGTCGGCGACCCAGGAGCCTCTCCGGCTGCAGGCTGCTGCCCATCCCGGCAGTGTGGGGCGAGTCCAGTGAGCCCATCAGCCCCAGCCAGCCGGGGACTGACCCCAGAAAAGAGCTGGGGCTCCCCTGTTATGGGAAGGGGGCTCAGCCACGGCACGGCTCTGTGCTGTCCTGGGAGGAGCCCCCGGCCCGGGTCCCTCTGTCGCTCACCCTCTGCTGAGAGGTGGGTGGGGGAATGATGCTCCGCGCTGCCGTGGGGCTACCCTAGGCCTTGAGCAACTGGGCTCTGCCTGGGCTGTGAGCCGCTGGGGCACGGCTTCCCTGGGTGCTGGTGAGGGCTGCGTATGGGTGCGCTCAAGGGAATAGATGCAGGGGTCCCCCTCCCCCGACACACGGGCTCCCAAGAGAAGGTGAGACGGGAACATTTTAAGGGTTTATTGGTGAGCTTTACAGAGGTGGGGTGGGGGGAAACAGCTTCCCCCCGCCCCCGGCTGCTGCTGCCCATCACCATTGCAGCTGGGTGCCTTCCCATCAAATCTAGAGCGACAGCACGGTCCTTAGGGGGTTCACGGAGCCTCTGGCATCCTTCCCCTTTGGGAATAAAATCGGGGTTGGGGGATGCAGTGGGGGGCGGGGGGTTCAGACGGGGAAAGCCTTGTCGAAGAGGGAGGTGTTGCAGAGTTCCTCGGAGAGGCTCTGACTCCGGATTCACCTGATCTCCAGAAGCTCATGCCACCGCCGGTCCCCTCGCCCGGGCATGCCGGGTCCCGGCTCAGGCACTGTGCCCTGGACTCTGCGGTCTGCACTGCCCCAGAGGAGCGCAGCTGCCGGGGGGGCCAGAGAGCGACAATCTGGCTCTGGAGGAGCGGGGGCTTGATCCGGTGATTGCTCTGACCGTTAGGCCTGGGCAGGACCTGGGGGCCGCTGGACAGAGTGGAGCATGGGCCTGACGGGCTCATGGGAGCCCAGACCCCGGGGCGGGCGGTAGCGTGGGGGTGCATGGATCACTGGGCTCCCAGGAGGGCAGGAGCACCGGGAGCAGAGGGGAGCAGGTCACCAGGTGCAGGGTCCTGGGTCTGGGCCCTCAGCTGCTCTCACTGGGGATCGAGGCAGGTGTAGGTCGTGTTCCCCACCAGGAAAGTGGGAGGGGCAGAGCCGTGGCCCCACTGCAAGGTGAGGGCACTCTGCTCACAGATCCAGCGGCAGGGGTCTGTGCACGACCCGCCCGACAGCCCAGGGCCCGACACCCTCCCACAAGCCAGGTAGGAGGCGGTGGAGCGTGTCACTGGGAAGAGCCTGGGCGGAGAGAGCAGAAAAGGCAGTGTCAGGACGTCTCCTGGGTCCTCCTTCATGGAGATCCCTGGGGGCAGCACCCAACCCTCCACCCCACAGGGGCTTGGACAGAGCCGGGCTGGGGCCCCAGAAACCAGGTGGAAACTGCAGCTCAGGGGCCCCTGGGCCCCAGGAACCAGCAGCAGGGTGTCCGAGGGGATTGTACCTGGGAGCACTCGGTCATGAGAATGCTGGGTCCATCTAGTCTGGTCTCTTGACTCTGCTGCAGCCTGGCTGTGAGGCCATGGGCAAGGCGGGCACTGCCCCTTGCTGGTGCCAGCTGTAGGATGGGGGCACCTGGGAGTGCAGACAAATCCACTGTGTTCCTGCAGCTCAGGCATGACAGGACGTGAGGGGAGCCCCCAGGGATCAGCTACAGCCGGCTGGAGACCCTGCTCCCGGCCCCCCCGCGCGTGGAGGAGGTTGTGTGGGGGAGCTCTGTGCAGCCGGCATAGCAGGCAGGGAGGGTGGGGGAGCTGGGGAGAGCAGGCTGGGGGCAGCTCCTCTGCCTGTATCGGAGGCAGGGGCATGTGGGAGCGTCCCAGCACCCCAGGGTCCTGGAGGAGGCCCCAGTGGGCAGTTCTCTCGGGAGCCCTGGGAGGGGAGAGCCGTGGGGCTGAGGCCTGGGCTTACCTGTTCAGTGCAGAGCCGTCCACCCACTTCCAGTCAAGCCTGGCATGTTCCTTCTTCAGCCCGATGTGGAACGTGTTGCTCTTGGACACACGCTGCAGGAAGGCCTGCCACACAAGGAGCCGATGAGTGAGTCCCAGCTCCGTGTCACACGCGTCCACATCCTCACACACGTGTGCACACACTCACACACGCTGCACTACGCAGCCCAAGCCGCTGCGGGCAGAGCAGTGCGGATGGGCAGGCCGGCGCAGTCCCAAGGGCAGCTCGCTCTCACTGGCGCGAGGTTGGGCAGTGCCCCCTGCACAGAACAGCCGGCTGCCTGGCGAACAGCCGTGGTCTTGGGCCCAAACCCAGCCGGGCTCCGTGTGTCTGAACGGCACCTCTCGCAGCCCCCCGGCGCTTGGCCGGGCCAGCACCCTCCTCGGAGAGCCCCACTCAAGGAGCCCACTCGGCCGGTTTATACCGACACGCCTCTTTTGGGCTGCCTTGTCTCCTGGCCAGTGCTGGGACAGAGCCGGACGTGGTTTTGCCTGGTATCAGATGGGGGGGGGGCATTTTGAACAGCTCGGTGCTGCGCCCCCCACTGGCGTGCTCTTGCATACACACGATGTGCGAGGTCAGCCCAGCGGGTGTGAGGGCAGCACGCTCGTGAAACCGTCTGGCGTCACCATCTGGCGGGATCCCACACGCACCATGCATACGGGGTCACCCCAGCAGGGGCGGGGTCACCCCTTTCCCAGAAGTGCTGGAATGTCCAGAATTCTGGGAACGTGCGACCCCCACGCTCCCCGCAGCGCAGCACCCCCTGATTGTGCAGGGAGAGCGCCTCCTACTGCACCCGCCCTGCTCTCTGGGGCATGTGAGCGTTCCCTGGAGAGCTCCCGTCACCATGCACCCCGCGCGGGAAGGGCGCCCCCCTTGGTCTACATGCTGGAATTGCACTGGCAATGGCAAAATCCTCTGTGCCGGGGTGACCAATGAAATCTGCCAAGAACCCGCCAGCCCAGTGCCAGGCCCCTCCTCCCTGCCATAGGCCTTGCCCCGGAAAGCGTGGGCCAGGGCCCCACACTCCCTTTGCCAGCTCCTCCAGGCATTCAGCGCCATGGCCAGGGAGGGGAGGGTGGCTGGGTGCAGGGCCAGGAGCAGGTTTGGGCAGCACACACAGTGCCCCAGTCCGTGCCCCTGGTGCAGCTGCCCTGGCCCCGGCCCCGAGCACTCACCAGCGTGGCGTTGGCTCTGATGGTGACAAGCTGGGCGCCTCGGGAGCGGCCATCCTCTTGGCTCTTGGCCCAGGCCTGCTTGGCCGAAGAAAAGTAATAGCACTTCCCAGCGTCCCAGAGCCAGCCGGCTGGCCAGAACTGGCACCGCCCTGTATGGAGAGAGCCCAGCCCACGCTACGGCAGGGCCAGCCAGAGCAGGAGGGGAGCTCCAGACCTGCCTCTCTGCCCCAGCCCTGGGGTGCGTACAGCTCTGCCCTCGGCCACAGAGGGGCCCACCCCAGGATCCCCCAGCTGACCGGAGCTCCTAGGATGAGCCGGCGGGGGGGGTCTCCCAGCGCTCGGGCTCCCAGGCCGTTGAGGGCTTGGTGGGCTGGAAGCAGCAGGAGGTGATGGGCAGCCAGGGCAGAGCTGGGGGTGAGCGTGCTGGAGCACTAGACACGAGGCCTAGATGGTGGGTGCCCACAGCCAGTGGGGAAGGACTCTGGGCTCCTCAGTCCTACAGGGCTGGGAACCGGGCTGACTCTGGGGGGCAGCGAAACCCTCCCCAAGCCTTTCCCAGGACCCTGCCCCACTCGCGTACCTGCCAGGAACCTCTCGCACGGCTGCATCCTGTGTTCGAGGCTCTCTTCCATGCTCCTCAGCTTCGGGGCACAGCTCCCCACTTGCCCTAAAGTTGCAGACTATGAACACAGGAACTGCCAGCCTGGCTCAGCCCGGGGCCCCTCTAGCCTGGCCTCTGGCTCTGGCACTGCCTAGTGCCAGCTGCATCAGAGGACAGGACAGGGAACCATGGCATGGCCAGTTGTGGAATAACTAGCCCATGGGGGAGATTCCCCCACCCTGCCAGTTAGGGCTTGGCTCAGGCCCTGAGATCACAGGGATTACAGCCCATCTAAAAGCTCCTGTCTCCTCTCTGCTGGAACTCTGGACGCCCTCGTTAGCCATGCAATGTTTAATCCTCATTTGGTTCCTGCTGAGCTTTTGGGCTCAGTGTGTCATGGGGCAGAGAGTTCCCCAGGTGCACGGCAAAGGTGTTTTCTTGTCTCAGTTTCAGGTTTGTTACCTCTGACTCCCCGGCTGGGCCCTTGTCCCTGTTTCATGAGCTAGGGAGAAGAGAAGTTCCCAGTGTCCCATCCCTACCGGGCGGGTTATTCTGTGCCCCTTTGTCCCCCTCAGGCCTCTCCTCCCTGACCCGCACAGGCTCACCTGTTCAGTCTCTTCGAAGGGCAATCTCACCAGGCAGTGACTGGTTTTCATTGCTAGTTTCTGAACACCCTCTGACCGTGCAGTGCCCAGCATCCCGGGGCTCGCGGCAGCCCACAGATCTATACGGTGACACTGGAGAATTCTCCAGTCTGGTCTCCAGCTGGGGTCTTTTGCAGCCGGACGTTTCGTTGGCTTTCCTGCCTGCAGCAGTGTGCTGAGCAGGTTTGGCTGAGGGTTCAAGTGACTCCTTTCTTTGGGCATGACTTTGCATTTGTCGTATTGAATTTCAACTGCCACCCTGCAGCCCGGGCAGCAGCCTGGCCAGGCTCTAGTGAGAGCATCCCCTAGACGTGCTGGGGTGGGGGGGCAAGAGGGGAGGCTGCAGCTCCCCCTCTTGAGGGGCTGAGGGAGGAGACCAGAAGCTGGCTATGCCAGGCAGCTGCTTTGGGGCTACTTGCTCGGAGCTAGTCCTCTGGGAACCTTTGCACAGCCCCCCACCCCAGCACTCAGCTGGCCCTGGCTCTGGCTCTGAGCAGGATCCTGACCTCCCAAGGGCCATGTGGGGCGGGTGCTGCAGGGGCCGTGGGGTGACAGTGACTGGCTGCTGCCCATACTCACGGTGCAGGCCCAGGCCGAGTACCGCTGCCAGGAGCAGGATGCACAGGAGAGCCAGGCCGAGAGCCACCCGCACCAGGGGAATGAGGGCAGCTGCTGCAGGGCTAAAGGAGAGAGAGTCCGTCGGGATCACCGCTGGGGGGGCTCAGCACAGCAGGGTCCCCCAGGTAACAACTGGAGGAGCTTTCGGGAGGCCTCAGCATGGTGGGGTCTCCCTGGGTCCCAGCACACGGATCGCTGGGGGGAGACCGCGGGGGGACACTCAGCACAGTGGGTTCCCCTGGGTCCCAGCACACAGATTACTAGTGGGGGGGAGCTCTCTAGGGGGCTCAGTGTGGCGGGGTCAGGCTGCGGGAGGGCTGCCAGCTCAGCCTGCCCTGTCAGGGAGTCCCCTTTGGTTGAGTCTCTGATATAACCTGTGTTTTGCCCATTCCCCGTCTCTGGCTGCCCGCCCAGGGAGCTCACAGCTTCACGGACATCAGTGCCCTGGCTCTGGGAGAAGGACTTCAGCATCCGCAGCACGGCAGCATGGAGAAACCCAGGCAGGGAGAGGGGCCACAGAGCTGGGAATAGAAGTCAGATCCCCAGCACCTTGTCCCCTGCTCCGAGACCTCCCGAGAGCAGCAGGTCTCACAGGCAGGGTGGCTGCGTGTGCGTGCCCGGGCATGTGTCCTCGTGTCTCTGGAGTGAGGGACCCTTAGCTGGGACCCCAGCTTTAGTGATCCCCCTGTTCCGCCCTGTCCCCTCCCCAAGCCGCTAGCTCCTTCATCGTAGGCCTAGCCCCCTGAGAAGCAGGCGGGGTGTGAGCGCCGCAGGGGGTCCGTTACCTGCCGGTGGGGCTGATGGGGGGAAGTGGATGTCGGCGTACACGACCCCCTCTGCCGTCTCATGGGCTCCATCCATGCTCCCTGCCACGGCAACACCCCCGCCCCCGCGCAGCCTGGTGTGATGTGAAATGGAAAGTGTCTCTGCACGTTTCCATCCCCAGAGACGCCAGCTGGGCTGGCGAGTACTCGCGGGGGCGGCAGCCGGCTCGGCACAGCCCCAGCGGCTCTCCCAGGGGAGACAGGGCAGTCCCAGCAGAGACCTAGCCAGGGGAGACAGGGACTCCCAGCAGAGCCCTGGCACGGGGAACCAGCTAGGCTGGCCATGCTGGGCTCCAGCTGCTCTGCCAGGGCACGGCCATTGGTCCAGCCCCACACGAAGCTGCCCCGAAGGCGACAAAGCCCCCCTCGCTGGTGCCTGGCTGCTCTGTGATGCAGTACACACCTGCTGGGCTCTGGTTTCTCCCTGTCATGGCTGGTGGCTCATGCATGGAGCACATGACAGTGGCCCTGCGAGGACAGACAGATGTGTCGTGGGCGGCCTTCCTGCCCCCGGCCACCACTGCCACAGGCCTCAGGCTGCTTTGTCTTGCCTCTATGTGCCCAGGACTGAGGGGAACAGGGGCAGGGCAGGAGAAAGTGAGCAGGGAGCTGGCTGCAGCCCTGCCCATCGGGGCCCTGTGCCCGGCCCGGCCCTGGCGCGGGAAGCCCCGGCTCAGCCCTGCCCATCGGGGCCCTGTGCCCGGCCTGGCCCTGGCGCGGGGAGCCCCGGCTCAGCCCTGCCCATCGGGGCCCTGTGCCCGGCCCGGCCCTGGCGTGGGGAGCCCCGGCTCAGCCCGGCCCATCGGGGCCCTGTGCCAGGCCCGGGTCTGGCGCGGGGAGCCCCGGCTCAGCGCGGCCCATCGGGGCCCTTGTCACGGAGTGTGGGGGAGTCCAGGCCCTGCACCCCTCTTCCTGGGATCCACTGAGACTCTCAGCCAGCCAGTAAAACAGAAGGTTTATTGGACAACAGGAAAACCGTCTCAAACAGAGCTTGTGGGTACAACCAGGACCCCTCAATCACGTCCTTCTGGGGGAGCAGGGAGCTTAGACCCCAGCCCTGGGGTTCCCTGCGTTCCTCCACCCAGCCCCAAACTGAAAACTAAACCCCCCCAGCAGGTTCCCTCCTGCAGCCTCCGTCCACATTCCTGGCAGAGGTGTCACCTCCCTCTCCCCCTCCCGGCTCAGGTGACAGGCTCTCAGGTCTCCCATCCCCAGGGCACATTCCCAGGTCAACACTCCCCCCTCCCTGCTGAGTCACATCGTCACAGCCCTGTGCCCGGCCCAGCCCTGGCGCGGGGAGCCCCGGCTCAGCCCGGCCCATCGGGGCCCTGTGCCCGGCCCAGGCCTGGCGCGGGGAGTCCCGGCTCAGCCCGGCCCATCGGGGCCCTGTGCCCGGCCCGGACCTGGCGCGGGGAGTCCCGGCTCAGCCCGGCCCATCGGGGCCCTGTGCCCGGCCCGGCCCTGGCGCGGGGAGCCCCGGCTCAGCCCTGCCCATCGGGGCCCTGTGCCCGGCCTGGCCCTGGGCGCGGGAGCCCCGGCTCAGCCCTGCCCATCGGGGCCCTGTGCCCGGCCTGGACCTGGCGCGGGGAGCCCCGGCTCAGCCCTGCCCATCGGGGCCCTGTGCCTGCCCCAGCCCTGGTGATCCGGCCCCGGGTCTGGCCCTGTCCCCACAGGTAGGCCCCGAAGGGCCCCCGTCCCAGCTGTCTTGCTGTGGTCCAGCGTCTCTCTGCTGCTCGGTGGCCCGTGACCTGTGGCTGGAAACAAGGCTGAGGCGGCCGTGTCTGACGTGCCGGGAATCAGACACCGGGGCCCAGCGCAGACGGAGCATGACTGCTACTGCCAACCCCAGGGAAACTCTGAGTAAAACTCCCCCCCGGGCCTGCGCAGGGCCCAGCTACAGCCCTGACCCACCCCCCGGCCAGGCCTGTACGGAGCCCAGCTACAGCTGGGGATGATATTAAAGCTTTGTTCAGTCAGGTTGACATAAGTCAGTCACAGGAAAGAAATAATCCTGAACCTGTGTCTACTAGGGGCAAGGATTTGCCGATGGAGGGTTTCTCCAAATGTCTGTATGAGGAAGATGGCTGTTTATCTGTGCAAAGATGCAGTGCGTATGTGGAAGAAATTTCGGAGTGTCCATCTGGCATCCCAGAAGTGAATCTGGCATGAGATAGGGCTCAGGGAAATGTTTCTCTAGAGCAAATTAAAGTTGGTGATCAGGTTAAAGCCCTAACTGAGGAAGGAAGGGGGACAGTCTTGCTGAGTGATGGATTGCTGGCTAGTAAAGCTTGGGAAAGGAAGCCTGACGCAGGTAAAAGTGATGTGCTTAAAGTAGCTTGGTGTCATAAGACACTATTTGTGGAAACAGCCATTTATCTGTTAAGGGAGGGTGTCACGGAGTGCAGCCTCACCCGGCAGCGCCTCCTGCCGGTCATCTCGGGGAATTAGCTTCCAGCC